CTATCCTCAGCACCACATAAATGCAAAATAAAGATATTGAGTCCACCTAAAACTTAAGAATAAATATTAAAAAAAAAAAAGAAATTCAGAAGTTCGTCCTTGTGATGATTTTCCTGGGCAAGGCTTGTGAGGAGTGACCAGGTGACACGGTCAGTGTGCCACCATGTCCTTTCTTTTATGGGTATTAGTGAAGGGAATGCATTATTTGGTGGTCTGCTGTATTCAGTGAGCTCAAGGGCCAGATTTTCGTATATTAGTTTAATATGCCCGTGCATCCATGTGCTTCTGATTAATTCAGTAAGTTTATGGGTAATTTTTCTTATTAGCATGATTAACTTATTACTTTGTGCTTTATGGTTGTGCCTAGCAGGTGGTGGTTTACTTGTACCAACAAGGCATGGAGTCATTCCACTTCAGCACTTAAACTCAAAATGGAGCAACTGATGGCAAACTACTGCTTTACACAGTGGGGTGGCAGGACTGCTGTTCTGTCCATCATGGAGAAACTCAGAGCACAGCATGGCCCTGTAGTCTCAACCAAATGCCTGAGAGTGTTCAGTTAGGTTAGAACCCTAACATCTCCCAGAACTGTAGGCTCTCTAGTTAATCTTGTTCCACCCATAGCCCCAGCACTCCGTACAGGGAAGAGTCCCCCGTGCTGGGAATCCTTTTTTGTCATTTTAACTTTGGAACCACGTAAATATTTTATATAAGTAAAAAATAAATAAAAAAGAATGAAAAAAAAGCCAGGCACAGTGGCACATGCTACCAGCTTTTCTGGGGAGGTTGAGGCAGAAGCATCACAAATTCAAGACTAGCTTGGGCAACTTATCAAGACCCTGTCTCAAAATAAAATAAAGTTTAAAAGAGCCAGGGACCCCATTAGTACAGTGGCTCATGCCTGTAATCCCAGCATGTCAGAAGGCTAAGACAAGAGGATCACAAGTTCAAGGCCAGGAGGGCTGGGGTGTGGCCAAGTGGTAGAGCACTTGCCTAGCATGTATACGTTTGATTCTCAGTACCACATATAAATAAGTGAATAAAAAAGAGATCCATCAACATCTAAAATAAAATAAAATACACATTGGAAATGTTTAAAAAAAATTAAAAGGGCTGGGATGTGCCTCGGTGGTGCAGTATCCCTGGGCTCATCCCCAGTAACCCCCCCTCCAAAAAAAAAAAAAAAAAGACCTAAGATATATATTGGTGTTCCTGGAAGCAACAGGGCAGGAAGAAAAAATATGGGAGATATACTATACAAAATGATTAATGGTTGAGAATTTATAAAGATGAAACTCAAGGACCAAATAAATTCTGAGGAAGATAAGAAAACCTACAACATAAATACAGGAAAAAATAACCAACTGACTAATTATATCCTGACTAAGTGGATGTCTTTAAGGAAAGCAAGGATTGCTTAGTATTGGCACATCTGTTAATTTTATTCACTACAATTAAATAAAAGTGACTCAGTAAATTTCAACACTCAGATATGTCAAAATTCACTGTACTGTCATGTATATCTAAAGAGAAAAAAGAAAAAACTAAAAAGATTTCAATACTCAGTATAAAACTCTTGTAAAACTAGTAGTTACAGATAATTTCCTTAATATTATGATTATAGAGTTTAGTGGTGAAAAAATATTTTACCCCCAGGAACTGGAGATTGAATCCTGGGCCTTGTGCACACCAGGCAGGTACCCTAACACTGAGCTGCATCTCCTGCTCTTAGTGGTGCTATCTGAGATGCATTTCCTTTAAAAATAAGAGTATCTACTCTTACTGCTTCTGTTCAGTTTTACAATAGAGGTTGGCCAGATAATTTAAAAGAAAAAGAAGCCAGATTTATACAAAGCTGTCTTACTGCCCCAGATTGCTACCTAGAAAACCTGGAAGGCTTTAACACTAATGAGAGAGTTTAGCAAAGTTGCTCAATCACAAAAATGTGATTTTAAAAAGATCAAGTTTGTGCTGGGCACAGTGACACATGCCTATAATCTCAGCTCCTCCCAGCCACCCTGGAAGCTGGCAGGTGGATCACAAATTCAAGGCCAGCCTGGGCAGTTTAGCGAAACTGTGTCTCAAAATAAAAAGGTCTGAGGATGTAGTTCAGTGGTAAAGGGCCCCTGGGTTCAGTCACCAGGACTGTCCGGAGGGGTTGAGGGGAGAGCCAGTTTGTAACAGGAGCCTGTGGAACAAAGCCAAGTGCAAGAGCTTTTATGGAAAAGGTTACAAAAGACAAAGTAACACTTGAGCGAAGGCAGAAGGCTACTGCGGTGACACTGCTATTTCTGCTATTCTGCAAGTTGAATCTCTAAGTTCACCACAGTCTAATCATGTTCCTCATAGGTTCTTCCATGGAATTTGTGGGGCTGAACCTAAAATTCACTTATAAAAGTGAGGTATGAAGAATAACCAGGATAATGTGGAAAGGAAAACAAAATGGGAGGGCTGCCATAACAGACGCTCAGAGCCTGCTGTGAGGCCAGCTGAGGAGGTAGCTAGGAGCAAGACCCGTGTAAGTGGGAACGCCATCTGTGACAGACGTGTGGTGTGTATCAGTGAGGAGCAAAATGGACTGGGGTTTTCACCTTCATTTGGGTGAAAAAGTCAGATCTTTATCTCATTCACTGAATTTAAGATGGAAATATGATGGGGACGGGGAATATCATGCAAAGTGAAGTAAGCCAAACTCAGAACCAGTCCAATGTTTTCTCTCATGTGGAAGCAAGAGTAAAATAAAGGAAAGGGGAGGGAGGATAGAATGACATAAAGAACCAATCAAATACAAATTCATAGCCCAGCAAAAAGAAGTTTAGTCAAGTAGCGGAAGGAGAAGGGGAGGGGGGAGGGAAAAGGGGATTATAAACTGAAATGGATTTCCATGCATGTGTGTGTTTGTGGGATGAACCCAACTACAATGTGTAAAATTAAAGCTCTCTAAAAAAGGGGGAAAAGATGTAAATATGAAAATTAAATTTTAGATAGAAGTACAGAATATATTTGTCATCTCAAAATAGGAGGAAGAATTTTGTAAAAATACGGCAAACTATAAAGGAAAAAAATGATAATTTACTACGATAAACAATTCTCTACATCAAAAGATGGATTAAAAGACAAGCCATAGCTGGAGTGTAACAACGGGCCCTGGGTTCAATCCACCCCTCACCTTCACCCCCACCCCCACCCCCCAAAAAAAAACACCACTAGTGGGCTGGGGGTATGGGTCAGTGGTAGAGTACATGCTTAGCATGCCCAAAGCATTGGATTCATCTCCACCACACACACACAAAAACAAAAAACCCTGAGCCACAGAGTGGGAGAAGAAAATTGCCATGTGTATAATCCACAGAGAACTGATAACTAGGCTACATAAAGGACTCTTAGGCAGGAAGAGTTTGCCCAGTAGCAAAATAGGCAAAGATATGAGGAATAATTCACAGGAGAAGCCAAAATGACCAATAAAACCTTGGAAAATACTCAGCCTCAGGGATAACACAAATGTAAATTAAGACAAGAATTCCACTTCACACTTATCAAAGAACAAGAACAAAAAATTCTGACAACACCAAGGGTAGGCAGGCTATAGAAGGTGAACACTACAAACAGATGGGAGCATAGGTTAATTGTGGATCTTATTTTTTTTTTAGTTGTAGTGGACACATTTATTTGTTTATTTATGCAGTGCTGAGGATTGAACCTAGGGCCTCATTTGTGTGAGGCAAGTGTTCTACCACTGAGCCACACCCCAGCCCCATAGATTGATTTTGTAAAGCACTTGGAGATTAATTGAATATATAGATTGAGCATCCCAAGTATGAAAACCTGAAATATAAGATACCCAAATTTCAGAACTGTATCTGCAAATGAAAAAAATAAAATATAAATGAAGTTGAGCTTTAGTAAAAAAATAAAGTTATGGAGGCTACAGATAGTAATTATCTCTGAGGAAGAAGAAGGTCAAATGAATTGCTGGGTTCCTCAATATTAGAAATGTCTCATTTTTAAGTAGGACACATATCACCAAATGTTAATACTAACCTCAGTACATGGATTTTGTTTTTGTTTGGTTTTGTTTTGATACATGGGTATGTTTTGATACATGTGCTTTTCTTAGTAACTTTAAATTCTTTAAGCTTTCACAACTAAAATAAAAATATAAAAATGAGATTATTGCAGTGTGGTAATTTTCTAAAAGAAACATGAGCAGAATTTCAAGAGAGCTCTGAGGAGGGACTAGCCATTGTGACAGCTGTTGAAATTCCTGTCTATTCATTCATCTGTGTCAGTGCTGAGTTGATTTTGTTTGACTTTCTCCTCACTGTGCTTTGTGTTTTCCTGCTCCTGTGTACTGGTAAATTTTGATTGGATGCCCAGACATTATAAATTTTATCTTGGGTGTTGGGCATTTTTGTATTCTTAGAAATGTTCTTGACCTTTGTTTTGAGATGAAGCTAAATTACTTGAAATGGTTTCATTCTGGCAGGTCTTACTTTTAAACTTTGTTCAGTGGAGCAAAAGCAATGTTTTATCTAGGGGTCAGTTTTACCCTACCACCAAGGCAAAGGTCTTCTGAGAACTATGTCCAGTGTCTGGTGAGTTAGGAGACTGGCAGGAAGAGGAACCATCCTTGGCCTGTATGGGCTTTGAGGATGGCTCCCTATGAGTTCTTGGGTGATGCTTCCCTGGCTGGGAACCCTCTTCACCATGTGCACTGCTCAGTTCTCAGTGAAAGTTTGGAGGGTCTCCAGAGCGCCAGCTTCTCTGCAGCTCTGCCCCTCCTGTGCTCTATCACCTTGGGCTTCCTCTGCCCAGCTCTGTTTTTCAACTGAGGGGACATTGGGCTTCATCTGTTCTTCTCCTGTCATGGCTGAGCCTCTTTTTCCACCAGAGAGCCGGGCAATGACAGGGCTTCTCTTAATTGTTCACCTTCTTAGAGGGATCACTATCCTTCATTGTCTGATGTCCAATGTCTTAAAGACCATTTCTTCATGCACTGTATCCTTTTTCTGTTTTTCAGTTGTTGCAGATGGGAAGATAAATCTGCTTCCTGTTATTCCATCTTGGCCAGAAGCAAATGTATCAAAACCAGAGGTTTTGAATGAAGGTACAAGGTGTCTAGAAATATCCACTGGTGGTGATGGGGAGCTGAGAGTATAGCTCAGTGGTAGAGCCCTTGCCTATCAGGCACAGGGTCCCAGGTTCCCCTCTTAGCACTGCAAACAAATAAGAAAAACAAATAAGAAAAAGAAAAGGAAATATTCTTGGGACTTAGGAAAGTGCTGACCCCCTTTCTGGATGGGATGCCTGGGTGGGAGAACAGAGGTGACTTTGTCCTGAGTGGGCATCAAAGAAATAGTCATGTTGAGGGAGGGAGACAGGGATAAGGCTTGGGAGAAAAGCTCCCTAGAATAATCCAGGGCTGCAGAACGAGATTTGGAGGTCATGACCAGAAGAAAGGGATGGAAAAGCTCCTGGTGAGGACATTCTGGATGGGGAGGAGGCTGGAGTAGGAGGCTACAGTGGGAGGCTGGTGAAGGCCAGGCTACCAGGGCAGCTGCCAGCTAAGGAGGAGCCTTGCTCTTTTCCAGGGCCACTCATTTCTCAAACTATGCTATTCAGGGACATGGGTACCATTCTTCCTTCAACTTACATTGAACAGAATTTGTCAAGATGTATCTTAAGCAGAATTTGTCAAGATGTTATGTTATGTTCCCAGAAGTTGAGGACATAAAAAGGATCCAAACATTTTATATATGTGTGTGTGTGTGTATGTGTGTGTGTGTGTGTGTGTGTGTGTGTGTGTGTATATTTGATGTTCAAACCATTGGTTCAAAATCAGAATAAACAGGCCTAAAGTCAACATTATAGAAACATTTCCTTATTTTAAAAACTGTATAGCTCAGTTGGTAGCGTGGTTGGCTCACATTCACAAGGACCTGGGTTCAATCCCCAGCACCACCAAAAACACAAAACAAAAAACTATATACAGTGTTGAAAAGTTAATTCTGAGTTATTTAGTTATATTAATTTCAATTAGGAAATGTCAGGTATAAAAACAATTACCTGTTTTAGAAAATGGTAATACTAATATATCTGAGTTATTGGCACAACATTAAGTATTTCTTTTGTTTGGTTTTTATATGAACTTTAAAAATACTAATTATGTTTCTGTATTTTTATGTATCTATGTATTCTTCCTCCAGTTTTAACAGTGATATCTTTTTCTTTCTTTCTGTCTTCCTTCTTTCATATATTTTTAGTTCTTGTTTTCTGGTGAAGTATTTTAAAAACAAATCCCAGAAATAATGTTGTTTTATTGTGAATACTTCTCCCTAGCAGATAAGGACAATTTTTATCTTTGAAAATAAAACTACCATGTTATTATTGCAAATAAGAGAACATAATAATTCCTTAATTTCTTCTAGTATCTGTCTATATTCATATTTTCCTAATAACAAATAATTTTTTTCCAGATGACCATTCTAATTGGATCCAAACAAGATCTGCTTTTTTGTACCAAGGATTGACCCCAGTGACGCTCAATCACTGAGCCACATCCTTAGCCCTTTTTAAATTTTATTTAGAGATAGGATCTCTCTAAGTTGCTTGGTGTAGATCCTTAGAATTTAAAAATATATTTTTTAAATTGTCAATGGACTTTATTTATTTATATGTGGTGCTGAGACTTGAACCCAGTGCCTCACACATGCTAGGCAAGCACTCCACCAACACTGAGCCACAACCCCAGCCCTAGATCCTTAGAATTTCTACAGATTAAATTTAAGTACACTTGAGCTTACAGTCAGAATACACACTCACATGCACACATTCTCTCTCTCTCTCACTTCATTATGAGGAAGAGAACATAATTAGATGTCCCACGGCCTACAGACATTGAATGATCAAATGCAGTATAAATAATAATTATGTTTGAAATGTTTGAATAAATGCAAACTAGAATAAAAATCAGTAACAAAAAGCGAAGTGTTAAAATGACCCAATCAGAACTTATAAAAAAGTAGAAATGAAAGACAAGAATGTAAACTAAACAGATTAAACACAGATGAAGATTGAATTAGTAAAAAGAACATAAACTGAAAAAAATTATCCAGAGTGCAGCACTGAGAGATGGGAGGTGAACAGTGACATTGAGAGGAAATAGACATTAGAATAAAAAGATGTAACTGGCACACACCTGTAAATCCCAGCGACTCAGGAGGCTGAGGTAGGAGGATTGTGAGTTCAAGGCCAGTCTCAGTACCTTGGCAAGGCCCTGAGCAACTTAGACCCTGTCTCAAAATAAAAATGGCTGGTAATGTAGCTCAGTAGTTAAGTACCCCTGGGTTCAATCCCAGTACAAAAATAAAAAAAAGAAAAAGAAAGAAAGATGTTGTAAAATGAAGTTGGAATTCCAGATTAAAAACATATGGGAAGGGGCTGGGGATATAGCTCAGTTGGTAGAATGTTTGCCTCACATGCATATGGCCATGACCATGGCCCTGGGATTAATCCATAGCACCCCCCCCCCAAAAAAAAAAAGAGAGAGAGAGACGAAGCATTATTTAAGTGTTAATAACTTCAAGCTTTAAAAACAACTAGTAAAAGACACAAATCCATAGATTTATGAAGCATGATATGTCCCAAGTAATTTAAAAAAAAAATAAAAAAAATTTTAAAAAACCCAAACCTCATATCCATACATTGAAATTATATAACACCAAAGATAAAAAGAAGATATTAAGCTAGAGGTAAAAGTTAGATTATCTAAAAGGGAATACCAGGGGTTGAGGCTGTAGCACAGTGGTAAAAGTGCTTGCCTCGCATGTAGGAGGCACTGGGTTCAATCCTCACGACCGCATTAAAAAAAAAAAATACATAAAGATACTGTGTTCATCTACAACTAAATAAATATTAAAAGAAAAATCCTTCCGGGGCTGGGATTGGTAGAGTACTTGCCTAGCATGTGTGAGGCACTGGATTCGGTTCTTAGCACCATATATAAACAAATAAATAAATAAAGGTCCTCAATAACTAATAAAAAATTTAAAAAAGGGAATACCAACTAAGCTGACAACAGATACCAGTATGAATAGAAGCTACTAGAGAGTAGTATAATTCCTGAAATTGATGAGAGAATATAATTTTCCTCCAGCCTATGGAAAACAATTTAAATGGTTGGATTGAAAAATAATCTAACGGGCTGGGGATGTGGCTCATGCAGTAACGTGCTTGCCTGGCATGCGCTGAGTGCTGGGTTCAATCCTCAGCACCACATAAAAACAAAATAAAGATGTTGTGTCCACCAAAAACTGAAAAATAAATATTTAAAAAAATCTAAAAAGGCTGAGATTGTGGCTCAGTGATAGAGTGCTTGTCTAGTGCCGGTGAGGCACTGGGTTTGATCCTGAACACCCCATAAAAATAAATAAATAAAAATAAAGGCATTGTGTCCACCTACAACAACAACAACAAAAACAATCTAAGAACTGAACATATTAAAGGAACTTCTAAATCAAAATGTAGGAGCTGAGAACTCTTATTATTATACAATAAAGATCATTCAGGATGTCTACCAGAATGTAAGAGCTGGTAGGCAGCTCCACAGGGTGGAGTCTGCCGGTGCTCCGAGGGCACTTGCTCATCTGGACAGAGTGGAGCTTTTGATTTTTAGAGGATTTACAGGGCAAGAAGAGTAGTTAGGCTCTGTGGCCTCTCAAGGTAGAAAGCCTCCAGCAGACTCCCTACACTCGCTGGAACTCTGGAGGGCCATATCCTTAGGGTTAGCATACACTGAGGCCTGTGCCCTCACTCCAGTCCCTGTCCCCAGGTGGCTATCTTTTCCTGCACTTAGAAGGAAAAAAGAAAAGGGGTAAATCTGTCTGTTATGGATTAACTTTTATTAGGATTTTGAGCCTGGATTTATACTTTGTGGTGGTTCAGGAAAATCAAGCTTGAATTTATGGTGTTTTGGCTTGATAATGCCTTCAGGCATCCTGCAGGAGATGGAGAAAGTTATCTTCATCCTAAGATACAAAAAACCCTACTGATAAATTTTTTTAGGACAATGATTAGTAGTCCACAGACAAAAATGACAAGGCACACCCGGAAAAAAGGCACCATCGGTTAGAACCAGCAGAAACAGCCCCTCTGGGCTTCAGGTATCAGAAGAGCTGGGCACAGCGGTGGCAGACTATGGCAGAGGGTTGTTTCAGCCCAGGAGTTTGAAACCAGCCTGAGCAATGTAGCAAAAGCCCATGTCAAAAAGAATTTAATGTGTAGGGTTAACAACAAATTACACGCAGCAAAGAGAAAAACAGTGAACCAGAAAACAGGTCAGAGGAATTGCACTGAATGAAGCAGAGAACATAGCAAAAAATACAGGAGAGGGTTTGGCGGTGTGGCTCAGTGGTGGAGCTCTCGCCTAGCACATGTGGGGCACTGGGTTCCATCCTCAGCACCGCAAAAAAAATAAATCAATAAAATAATGGTATTATGTCCATCTACAACTAAAAAAAATTTTAAAAATACAGAATAGAGGTTCCATGGCATGGAGCATGGAGGGAGAATATCTAATGTAAAATTTTTTGGTGTTCTAAAAGGAGAAGAGAGAGTGGGGCTGGGGATGTGGCTCAAGTGGTAGCGCGCTCTCCTGGCATGCGTGCGGCCCGGGTTCGATCCTCAGCACCACATACCAACAAAGATGTTGTGTCCGCCGAGAACTAAAAAATAAATATTAAAACTCTCTCTCTCTCTCTCTCTCTCTCTCTCTCTCTCTCTCTCTCTCTCTCTCTCTCTCTCTCTCTCTCTCTCAAAAAAATAAAATAAAAATAAAAGGAGAAGAGAGAACAGTCAGATTTATTATTTGAGAAGATAAAAGCTAAAGATTTTCTACAATTGGTGAAAACAACAAGTCTTCAGATTCAAGAAAACGAATGATGAATCATAAGGAGAATGAATAAATAAAAAAATTAAAGCTAGTCAAAACAGAATAAAACATCAAAGCACCAAAGACAGAAAGGGATCTTAAACCAGAGGAAGAAGACAGATTAACTTAATTTGAGCCATAGTTAAGAGGACGGTTTGTGTTAGTTTTTATTGCTTGTG